ACAATTAATGAGCAATGTCACCAGCATTGTTTTCTAAGTGCAGACCAAACAAATTCCCTTTACTCGTACCCCTTTGAAGTAGAACTGTTTTAAAGGAAATTGCCAGAGTTTCTATTCTATGAAAGACTTTTAAAACCTAGCTAGGTAAATGGAAATGCAATTATGGAAAGAGTAACTTAATTTTTCCTTTCTGTATTAAGATAATTCTTCAGCATAGCTACTTCTCATACTTATGAATGGAAGTGCTTTAGAGCATTGGCCTGCTAAACCCAGGGTTGTGAGTTCAATCCTTGAGGGGGTCATTTAGGGATCTGAGGCAAAAATCTGTCTGGGGATTGGTCCTGCTTTGAGCAGGGGGTTGGACTAGATGAGCTCCTGAGGTCCCTTCCAACCCTGATATTCTATGATTTCATGCATATTATAGTTGATAGAGGCAAATAAGATTTAAGAAGGCTTATATGAACTGGGCTTCCATAGAGAAGCTAGCTTATACTACTTGATCAAGGCTCAGGTCAAAGCTCGTGTATAGGAACACTTTTTGCACCCTGCATAGTTCAGTGTCTGGGCATCTTACTTGTTCAGTACCCTACCATCCTGGATGAAAGGGCATCCACCACTTCCGTGTGCAGCTCCCGAAACTATTTAGCTGCTTAAGATCTTTCAGCAGCCAGACAGACTTGAAAGTTCCACCACGGGTAAATTGCTTGCTTTTTATTTCTTACTTTATTGGTTTTCTGTGGATGAGACATCCTTTATAGGCACCTCCATGCCCTGAGAAGCTTTAAAGTGGGTGACTTCATCTATGACCAGGCTGCAGTCATTTACTGTTGTGAAATTCAGTTTTCAGCTGTTCAGGCTCATCTTCTAATGCGGACAGTCTTGACTGTAGTAGGTTCTATGGCCAGGTTTCCTCTGCATGACATCATCTTCAGCTGTAGAGTGCAAATGGAGTTTTTCTGTAGCTATGAGTGCTCCTCTCTCAGCCTTGTTCTTTCTTGGGAAAGGCTAAAAGATACAACAGGCATGAGATTCTGGCCTAAGACACCCTTAATGATAATATGATTATCATGAGGTGAGTTTGACCCAGTTCCCTCCTCAAAGTAAAAACTTTTCTCTGTAACAGGGTACACTGGCCCTTCAAAGACAGGCCTCAGACTAGGATTCTGTTGCTGCCTCAATCCAGGACAAAAAGTATTCTGGGGGGCTGTAGTTCTCAGATTGATGGGCTCTATAGCAAAGAATGCTGGGAAGGTAATCTGGGCTATAGACAAGTTCTCTTTTCTTATGAGGGAGCAACTTGGAGGTATTAGCAGGGCAGGTTCCAGGCACCAGCAAAGGAAGCAGGTGCTTGGGGCGGCCAATGGAAAGGGGTGGCATGTCCGGGTCTTCGGCGGCGGTCCCTCACTCCCTCTCGGAGGGAATGAAGCGGCGCGGTAGAGCTGCCGCCGATCACAGCCTTGTTTTTTTTTCTAATTTTTTTTTGGCTTTGCCGCTTGGGGCGGCAAAAAAGCTGGAGCCGGCCCTGGGTATTAGCAGCCTGTTGATGGTCTGGTCAAGACCTGTAGTGCAGCTCTTAACAGAGAGGGAGTTGGTGAAAGAATTCAAGAGGGACTGGGGAGATGGTTTGGGAGAAAGAAAGGCATAAGACATGGCTCTGAGAAAAGAGTGAAGTGAGAAAATTACTTCATTGTTTAGGGTCTTGGGGGCTCCCCTATGCATCAGTAGTGCAGCTTAGAGGGGAGGGGTTTAATGCTCTTGCATCAAGAGTAAAGGATAAGTTGTTGACTTTGCAAGGGGAGAAAAAAATCTTTCCTGCACCGCTGAGGAAAAGCTGTGGCTCAAAAAGCAGAACTAGACAAAGGCTTTTTGTTGGACTCTGAACTTTTAATCTTTTGATGGAGAGGAGTTTGTAGTTTGGCCATAAGACTACTTGCCCATGTTGAATTGAGGGAGATTGTTGATCGCTGAGATAAGTGAGGCACAGTTGCACCCCTGATGGATAGGCAACCTTCTTTTGTCTTATATTAGGTCAAAAGGATTCTAGCAGTGCTGTAACTTGAAGGAGTGGAAAAGAAACTCTCACCATTGCCTGCTACTGTCTATTATCCTTTTCAACTTCATAAAGAGAAATCTAGAAAGCTAAAAGATCTTTGACCACCTCAGTTTCTTCACCACTAGAATAAGTGGGATAGGAGCTATTATTTAAACCTTTAGAGAAAGTAAAATTCCATGAGAAGCTCAAATGCTTGGGATGAAAATCTATATGAAGGTGTCTAAACATTAATTTGCACGTCACTCTGTTCATTATTCTTTGAGCCTACGTCCTAAGGGTTTGAAACAAATTGTAGCTATTTCCCCCCACATCTGAGGCAATAAAAACTGACCAAAAGGTTGGCAAAACCACTAAATTACTTTCCTAAAGACCACTAGTGGAAGCATTGTAATCATACACAAGCGACACTGAGATTCAATCCACTGTCACTGTGAATAACCTTTGTCAGTAGGTCAGAAGCCTTGAATTAGGTGACCAGACAGCAAGTGTGAAAAATCGGGACAGGGGGTGAGGGGTAATAGGAGCCTATATAAGAGAGAGACTCAAAAATCGGGACTGTCCCTATAAAATCGGGACATCTGGTCACCCTACCTTGAATAGACTCTTGTATGCACACCCTGCAGATACTTTAGCTAACCAGCTCATGGCTACTTTTAAGATCTCTGTGGGGGTAAATTTTTTTTTTTTTTTGAAAAGCACCTGCATATGACAATCGCTGAACTTGCAGAGTAAGAAGTCCCTCTCCTCTATAAAGCAAAGATGAGGGAACTTTTGCTCTAGACCAGGGGTCTCAAACTCAAATGACCACAAGGGCCCCATGAGGACTAGTGCATTGGCCCGAGGGCTGCATCACTGACACCCACCCCTTACTGCCCCCGACCCCACTCCACCCCTTCCATGAGGCCCTGCCCCCATTCCAACCCCTTCCCCGAAGTCCTCACCCCAACTCTGCCCCCTCCCTGCCCTCAGGGGGCGCAGGAGGGGTGCGGGGTGTGATGGGGGCTCAGGGCAGGGAATTGGGGTGAGGGGTGCCAGAGGGGTGAGGGGTGCAGCAGGGGGTTGGGGTGCAGGGTGTGGCAGGGAGTTGGTGTGCGGAAGGGTGTGGGATGTGGCAGGGGGACCTGGGGTGGGGTGCGGGCTCCGGCCCAGCGCCGCTTACCTAGAGCGGCTCCAGGATGGCAGCACCGTGGCCTGGGCAGGCTGCCTGCCTGCCCTAGCCCTGCTCTACTCTGCTCCAGGAAGCAGCCAGAGTCCGGGGGGGGAAACAGCGCCATGTGCTGCTCTTGCTCCTCCGGGTACCTCCCCCAAAGCTCCTATTGGCCATGGTTCCCTGTTCCCAGCCAATGGGAGCTGCGGGGGAGGGGGGGGGGGCAGTGCCTGGAAGAGAGCACGTAGCCCTCTACGCCCCGCCTGGGGCTGCAGGGACGGTAGTACTTAGAAAGGACACTAAGTCTGAGTGGCTAAAAAGCAGTAGGACAGACCTGTAAAGAAAAGGGCTTTTATTTCTTTTTAAAAGCCCCAGACAATGCCAGTATCTAGTCCAGGGTCCAGTATCTAGTCCAGCTGCTTCGGGGAGCGGTGAGGGGCTTGCGGCGCCACGGTGTAGGCAGAGGGGTGGGGGCATGGGGAGCTTGGCGGGCCGCACGAAAGAACCCCACGGGCCGCGTGTTTGAGACCCCTGCTCTAGACAGACCTTTTAAGGATATTCATTCTTCAAGAGCCTATAGGAATTTCAGAAGGAGATGATAGGTCCACTCCATAGCCAGTTTTCTTTCCAAAACTTTCACCACCTCAGACAACTACATGGCTTCCTTCCCCAATCTGTTCAGAAAAACACAGGGAGGAGATCTCAACATTTTGTTCACCTTATGCAGCCACATCACATCAGATGGGTGAATTCTACATTCAATTTTTAGAGACCGCTCTGAAATTTAAATCCCTACCCAGGAGATGAAGGAATCTAGTGCTCTACATTAAAAACCAACTCAAAACAGTTTGGTCATTCAGAAATTCAGGGAATACCTTCTTCAAACTGGGACAACAGAGCATGTCTCTTCCTATGAATACTCATTTGATCTTCTACACAGTACCAAAATGGTCAGGGGAGTGACAGAGCAGTATTTGGTCTTAAAGCTTTTGTACAATGTTTGAGGATGTTGAAATTTATATTGAAGACTCCTGGAAATTGAGAACTGATTTAAAATTGAGAACTGTTGGGGATGCTAGTTTTATGTTTGTCTCCTCACCTGTGTTCAAGAGTATATATGCTGACTGGTGATAGCAATAGTTGGAATGCTAGTTTAGAAAAGGTACTGGCAGCCATCAGTGTACTGTGTCATATAGCTCTTCTGTGAGCAGTGTTGGATTGCATGATCCATAAAATGTTGATCACCTTTTGCCCTGCTTATTCGTAGTGCTTACACTATTGCTATAGTTAGTGGTGCTCAGCCAGTGGTGGGAAACTTAATGGCAAGAAGCCTAGTATTGTCACTTGTATATTTGGGTTCTACTTTCTATTGGGGTTTTGTATTTTTTTCATTTCTATGTTGGCGAACCAAATTTCTTGAACCAAGTTACAGCAGAGCACTACTCAAGCTCTTGCATTTGGTTTGAAGGAGGTTTTGTGGGCTAGCGGTGTGAGGGGGAGTGACCCAGATTTTTGTTGTTGACAGGTCTGAACTACCTCCTTGGGAACAGGCAAGAACAATCAGCTGGATTCCCAGTCACTTCTAATAGGGGAGAGGTTATCTAGTAACTTTCTTTGTAATAAAATTTCCTTCCTCCACATTTGTCCGCTCTTAACAAAAAGCAAACTTCTTAACTAAGTAGTTATCTGGGCAGTTGTACTGGGGAGGTGGGGGTGTTTACAAAAACTGTATCCCGCTAAACCTGCATTTCTTCAGAGAATCTCACTTTTTTTTCATTCTTTTTCTTCAACACTTCCAAGGCATTCTGATTACAACCATTGCCTCTAAGGGGGAATTGCAGAATTGGCCTGAACTCTTACCAAAGCTTTGCAGCCTCTTGGATTCTGAAGACTACAATACCTGTGAGGTGAGGAGTTTTGTTTCAAATATAAATTTAGAGGAAAAATGTCATATTTCATATGCTTGTGGTCTATCTTGAGCAGTGTTTCCCAAACCATAGGTCCCCATGCACCAGTGGGTTGCAGGAAGGGTCAAGATTGGTTGCGTGTGCCCCAGAAGCACTTTCTGTGGGGAACAGAATCCAGACAGTAGTAGCACAGAGGAAGCAGTGGGGCCAGTGGCTGGCCAGCAGTCTGTCCCTTGAGTTCTCGCTTCCCCTGGGCAGCAGGCAGCCGAGTGGTGGCAGCGGTTGCAGTGCAGAGGAAGCTGACAGGGCCAGTGAGCGAGCGGTCAGGAGCCTGGTGACGATTGTGGCTGGGCTGCAGGAGGGGACAAGTTTTGGAGAGCAAGAGTAAAGGGGCGGGGCTGGGGAGAGGCATGGGGAGTAGGAGGAGCTGAGTGAGAAAGGGAAGAGATGTGGGAAATAGAGCTAGGGAGCTGAAAAAAAGGGAAGGTGTGGGGGGGGATCAGGAGTAGTGGTTGGTCCCCCACAAAAGAGAATATACAGTTAGTGAATCACCTTAGTAAAAAGTTTGGGAACCATTTCTCTAACACTCAGTAGTTCCAACTGATTATTCATTCTAGTTTCTTATGGCCACATACCTATTTAACTGAACAGTGACTTACTCTTTTGCCTGACTGAAGTGATATGGCTTCTGTTTCTTTCCTTCTGGAATGTATCCTAAAATTTCCTTTGTTATAGATGTTACATTGGACTGGTGTGAGAATGAGATTACTTTTGAGACCTAAGGTGATCAAAAATGGGTACAGAAGAAGGAAAATGTTAAGCTTGCTAGATTAAAGTCTTAAATTATCAGAACAGTTGCTACCTCTGTTATGAAAATATAACCTACTATTGGATTCCCTTTGCTACGTGATTTTAGTTACTCTATATTGGATCTACAAAAGCTGTTTGAAATGTTGTGTAAAAAAAAGTTTCTGTAAAGATTTGAGAGCAATAAATGGTACCCAAGATCAAATCCAACAGGGATGGTCTAGGAAGGCTAACTCTCCTGGATAAACTATTTTTTCTTCTTTTCTTAATACTTTGTTTTGGATGGAGTGGGAGAAACCAATTTCAAAATGTTCAAGTTGATAATTTTATGGATGGAGTTTTAGGGTTTATCGTACACATTTAAAATCAAGTACAGATAATTTAGGAAATTGTCACCTTGGATTTAAAACTTTGAAATATAGGGGAAAATGCTCTGCATTAGTATAAATGGAGGAAAGTTTTGTCCATAACTTAAGATCTGATTTGTACCCTTAGTTACGTTTAGTAAATATGGCAGGGAAAACATGTAGTATGGATAGACTAGCATTGAATGACCAAACAAAATCTGTCACCTACTACTCAAGTTGGGATCTTACAGATCAGATCAAAACGTAAAATTACTTGTCTCTTTTCATCATGAAATTGAGTTGAAACTTACTAATGTGTGTTAAGTCATAACTGCATCTGTTTGCTAACTGTTACAAATAGCTAGCCATGCTCATTACTAAATAGAGATATTTAGCTACTCATTGGTTTTCTTTTTTTAGGGTGGGGGGGGTGTCAACTTAGGAAACTAACTTTTTTCTGAAGAAAGCAAACTTACGTATTTTACAGGGTGCATTTGGAGCTCTTCAGAAGATATGTGAAGATTCTGCTGAAATCTTAGATAGTGATGTATTAGACCGACCCCTCAATATCATGATCCCTAAATTTTTACAGTTCTTCAAACACAGCAGTCCAAAAATAAGGTAGGTATACATGCAACAGTGCAGCGCTGCAGTCTCAGATGAAAATTGATTTAGATAATATATCCTGTGGTATTGTTTAAAATGTCTGAAAAGTGATCTTGCATGTGCAATGGTGCAGGGGGAAAAAAAAGCATTGAGAGTCCATGTTAGTGTCAATGACTTGCGTGTCACTTTTTGCTTAGTTTAAAAAGTAAAAAGATGGTGTCTGTCTTTAGCCTTACTACCAGCCTAGGGTCTTGAAAGTCAACTGTGTTCTCCTGGCTTCACCAGCAGTAAGATTCAGCAGCTGGAACTTAGTTAATAAATCTCTTGCTCATGAAAACATGAGCCAGAATAGAATCTAGATCACTCTTTCATAGCTGTATTGACTGCAGTGTGAACATGAATAAAAAAGCAGTAACATACATTTTATCAGTAAAGCAAGTGTGTGTAACATGTTCCTCATCAAATTGCTCTTCTGACTCTACCAGCGTTTTAGTGTTTCTAATCTTTCATGAGATCAAATTAAAAACATATTTATTTTTTTAGATGGGGGGACTACAATACTAATATAAAATAGAAATATCCCAGGGACTGGGAAAAAAAAAATCTCTAAAGTGGATAACTATAAAAGAACTGTGGGGGGGTGATGGGCATAAAATTAAACATGATTTTACAGGGTAATACAGGGGTTCTCAAACTGGGGGTTGGGACCCTTCAGGGGGTCACAAAGTTATTCCGGGGGGGGGGTCACAAGCTGTCAGCCTCCACCTGAAACCCCGCTTTGCCTCCAGCATTTATAATGGTGTTAAATATATTAAAAAATGTTTTTAATTTATAAGAGGGGTCACACTCAGAGGCTTGCTATGTGAAAGGGGTCACCACTACAAAAGTTTGAGAACCACTGGGGTAATACAGCCAAAAGTGGTTTTGAGTTGCATGTACAGAGTCATTATAGTATGTGAGAAGAAATAACTATAGCTGTTACTGCAATATTTATGTAGTTCATTTCTGGACACCATTTAAGTTAGAAGTTACTGCTCACATGGCAAAAATTCAGATGAACAACAAAAGATGATGTTGCTGAGGAGACATGGGTATATGATTTCATATTGTAAACCACTAGTGGGATGGGGTTGAAGAGACTATAGGGAGAGGTATCACAGTAGAAATTAAGATGGAAAAAATTTATGATAGTGAAATGTTAGGCTGTGGAATAGGTTCCCAAGGATATGGGTTTGTGCCACTGAGTCTTTTAAAACTAGGCTAGACACAGTATTAGAAAAATCTAATATAAGGAACAGTCCTGAGCTTGATCTAATCTAATACATGTGGGGGAAAATATTTTCCTCTGAATAAAACAAATTCTACTTACTGTGTGTCAATGCTGTTTCTCATCTTCATCTGCCTACTATTTAAAAACACACACACACACACACACACACACACACACACACACACACACA